TATATATATATATATTTTATATATAAAAACACATACATACATACATACACGTGTACATTGTGTGTGTGTCCGCGGCACGAAATGGTCTGAACTTAAAATCTAAGTAGCCGAGCATCATACCACCACGTAGATAAGAACACGTAGACCAGTGGTTCTCAATCAGTAGTATCACGATAAGAAATAGTTGAGCGGTACGTAGATAATTTATGCAATATACATAGTTATCCTAGTTTCCAATAAATGAAAAAGATGGATATTTCTTCAATTAAGACTTTCTTTCCCAAGAACATTTTTCCAACTATACTTGAATTTGGTTGACATTATTATTGAATATAATAGGAGTGAATAAACGACACGGAGATATTCTGCGTGCTGAAAACAAAATTTTTTTCGCAGAACACTTTATCAATCATTATATAGATATTATACTAGTCAGAGTTTCGCTAAAAAAAAAGTTATCCAAATAATCAAAATGAAAATCGTTGCCATTGACCATACCTTGAATTTCAAAGTACCGATTTGTCGTTCATTAATTTCTTTTTTTTTTTCTTGTCAATCGAGAGAGAGAGAGAGAGAGAGAGAGAGAGAGAGAGTATTTGTCAAAATGCCTTAAAAAAGTGAGTGTCTAACTGTAAAGTCTTATTAAGGATCTAGTGTATTCCTGATCTTAATATGAATATTATATTAAATCAACTTGTTATTATACAATCACGTTCTTTTCTTAATCTTCGTGACCTAACCTAAACCTAACCTAATCACGTTTGAAATTTCACGGTGTGTTTGATTTTGTTTGACATTTTACGTTCTTCGTGATAGAAATTAGTAACAAAATTGAATTACAAATTGCAAAGTTCAATAATTGTTAACAGTGAGCCCAATGAGCTACTGATAGTGCTGAAATTCTTTAATCTTGATTTCGATTTCGTGCGTATTGACGAAAAGATTGAGAACCCCCCGAGATAGAGGATCCAACTAGAGGGCAACCAGAGAGGGTTGCATGGATTAGAGAAAGGGGGGAGGGTAGAGAAAGAGAAGAGAGAGAAGAGAGAGAGAGAGAGAGAGAGATAGGTGGGATGCTGAGTTGTCGAGGGGTGCATCCGGGATCTCGGAGGGTGGCGATTCGTGGGGCGGTCGGTCGTCATGGATACGTTCCCGGCTAACCCCTAACCGCTCCTCCTCCCTTGTCATCCACATTTTCGCGACTACGCCGCCATCATCGACCCACCATCTTGCACCGAGAGGACAAACCACGAGATGTGTCCTCCCGTTCAAATTTTTCGATCACTCGACGATACTCCAAATCGGCAAACCGATTATAATTTTAAATCGATCAACGCTTGAAGACGGTATGATTTTCAAGATGATATGTCCACTATTGTCCATAAATATTTGAACATATGTCTCTAATCAATCATACGCGAGATTTGACGCTGAGATCAATTAGAGACTTAATCTCTATTTAATCCTCGATGAAATAAAATTTTCACTGCAAAGATTTTTCTTTCGTGATACTGCGATATCTGGGATATCTCGCAAGAGCGACATCGTCGAGAGTGTTAAAATAACTTTACGGGACTGTGAAAGAAACTTTTTGTTACTAACAGCTCAAAAATTAGTGTACCATTCATAAGGCATATATTCCTCAACGTTCATAATTTTTAATTAGAATTAGCTTATTAACAAAACAAGATATCTTTAATATAAAATCTAATTTCATTAATAAAAAATTCCGTTAAATTTTATCACTAAATAGCAATGCATCCAATACGATCTGTCACACTTTTTCCTCAGTAAAAATTACTATCCCCTAATAACAAAGAAAAGATCCACTTCATAAAGAAATTCTCCAATTAAAAATCGCGATTACAAATTACGATTCCATGCACGGAGGAGCAACGTTTCGTTCCGAGTTTGCCGTTACTTTCACAAAAATGTCTCGGCCGTAGCACAGAAAAGATGGAAAACCTTTCTGGCGCGTGAAGTTTCCAAGCGGCTGGCCGATAAATTTCCGAGGAGCAAGCAGGATATTGGTGTGGTCTCGTGGAGAGAGAGAAGCGGCAGTCGACGACCGTTTTGCTCAGTTGGCAGCGGTGCAACCCTCGTGCAACGCACCCGTTGCAACCTTTCCACTTCCATCCCTTCTGCTCCCTCCCTCCCTCCCACCCCACCCTCTTCCTCTTCATCCCCTGTTTCCACCCTTCTGCGCGGAGGGGGCGTGGGCGGTAGATAACGTGATTTACACTGGCCGGGTAATTAATGTCCTCGGCGACCGGCGCTTTAAAAAAACAATCGGAAATCGGCGACAACGAAGAGCAACAGTCAGACTGCTGGTATCGCGGCCGCCACTCGCCTGACAAATTATTACGCCCGAGATTTTCCTCTTTTTGTTTATTTATTTAGTACCCGTTTTTTTTCCTTTTTTTCTTTTTTTACATGCGGATTTTCGTTCCGTTTTTTTTTTTTTTTTTTTTT